ATACTTCCGCATTTGTCTCCAAAGTTGTGTGGCATTAAAACGAAATTGTGAAGTTTTGGTCTGCTTTTCGTGTTAGACTTTTCTGAGGTACTTAAGCATACGACCACGAGAAAGTCGAAATAAACTCGAAATTTCTGAATATGGATTACACGCGATGCATGCTCTGTTGGAAGCAGAACTTACACATTGTACGGCTGGAATTCGTGTTGATACAAAAAAAAATTCTAAGTAGCATTCGGTTTATATAATGGTAACTGTTACTCTCGTATAAGTCTAAAGTTTTCTTAGAAAAATTTAGCTACTTATAAAGCTTTCCCTCAATACGCCATGTAGACTCTTAGGGAGGGGAGAGGTAGTGTAGCTCCTACTCATTCTTAACCTCGGCACTAGATAGGGGTGAGTGGTATATATAACAATTCTCATAAAATGTGCAAATTGAATTCTGTATAAAATGTCATAAAATCTGTTAGGAGATTCGAAAGTTACTTCATGAATTACTAATGATTAAAATATTTTCTCAACTCTGTTAATGTTCGGATAACCAACATGTGAAGTGCTGTTTGTACGAGCATGGTTATAATATTTGTCTTGACAGTATGGGCAAAATGACTTAACTCTGGCTGCTAGACAGAGTTTAGCCAATCCGGTTCTACGCCCTAGTAAATAATAATACTAACGGAATTATTAATTATTACTAAAATAAACTGGGAAATATCTTCGTCGGTCTCTCGGTGGATAAAAGCATTTCTTTATGGTATTGTATTTCACCATGTTTAAAGTACCATAAAAAGGAGAGTTTAAAGTACAAAGATCGTGGACCATCTTCATTGACTCATGCCTTGTGTATTTAAAATGAAGTCGTACCTTTTGAAATAGGTAGACATCGGCATTTCACCATGCTTTGCTTCTCCTAAGATTATGTTCGTCGGAGAAGATAACATTCTGGTTCTAACTAGGACACCACTTCAGAAACTGTCGGCCTACCAAGGAGACCCTCATAAAAGCAATTATATGCTGTGAAGCTCACGGACAGAAATATTGACGTCACAACTGCCGATAATTTGTGTTCGTTGACGTATTGCAGGCTACGTGGAACAGATGTGTTAGAAGGTAAAGGATACTTTGTTCGGCCAACATTGCCTGGAATTTTGTTATTCACGGGAATAGATGTGTTTCTGCGTAAAAAACGAGATGGGGGCATTCCACAGTCAAGGATTTCTACTGTTACATAAAATGGTCACATTGTCGACCAGGAAAGAACCAGAGGAAGGAGGAAGGAAAAGAGGGGAAGGACACGGAAACGGTGCAGTAAAGAGACATGAAAATTATTTTCCTTGTAGTTCATTAAATATGTATTTCATCGACAAAATGTTTCAGTTAGAGTTGTAGATCGTAATAAACTATGGAAGGATAGGGCAACAAATATTTGTGAAAAGAATTCATGAAGTTAGATTTTAAATTTATCTGAAACAGAGGTTGTGTTGAACCGGTTCTAGAATTAGATTCGTCCGATGAATGTTAGCAGTTACCAGATCTTATAGAAATCCGCCAATTTCTAGTTAATTTAGGCAGAAAAATATCAAACGGTGTAATCGTCTCGCAATGCCACCATTTTATACACTTTGTAGTAAAAATTAATAAAACATGTGCTGATTTTTTTCTCCATTATTCAAACTAAACTCTACTGCTTGGTTCTAACTGGCGTTGTCATAACACGACAGTGCAGATGCACTATTTTGTATGGAATGTACAATGGAATTAACAGAGGAGTTGACAAAAAATACATGAGGAAGAACTTTGTAGCTTATTCTGTTCATGTCATGGCAATTAAATCAGGGAAGATAGAGGTAGACCGAGCATTAGCACGTGTGATGAACATTTTAGTTTGATAACGAAATGGATAAAGATCCCTCAGGTGACCAACTTTCAGATGGGAAGATTGTTTTAAAATTTATCTTTGTGCAATAAATTGGTTTAAACTGGACCGTCTCGGAATATATTTCAATGACGGGGTTTTTCTAATGACTATGAATCGTGGAATTTGTGGATTAGGTGAATTACTACAGACTTCTGAGAAACGGAAGTGGCTTCGTGCACTATCGCAATAAACCGTGAACTGTAGGTAATCACTCTCATGTTTCAAAGGTCTAGCTGACTAATTGTTCCATTTTCTAAATCTGCCTTAACCCTTCATTGAAGTTCCAACACTAGTAGGATAACATTCAGTACTTCATGGATGATTTTCACTGAGAAATCCCAACAACGACATGGAAACGAGCGTCTGTGATTTATGAAACTTTGTACGTATAAATAGCATCGCAAAACGGGCAAGTGATGATCTTATGATGTGGTTTTATGTAACAGAAAAACTTTCCGTTGCCCCATTGACTGGAATATGAGCATGATTTGCGATTATCTTGTTTTAACGCCATTTTAAATAATTTATTCCTCAAGAGACTGCGTGTGTGCCAATTTATGTAACAATCCTGTCCGCCTTTCAAATTGATTTACTGGTTAATAGCCGACGAAATATTTCATTACTGTGATTAACCGAATTATTGCCTGATTAACTGGCTGGTTAACTAACAGACGATCGCCGATTATCAGTTTTTAAACAGTAGCAGGGAAGGCTGTGGGGCTTTTTTGTTTCGAAATGTTGGGGGTCATAGACCATTAGTTCATCTGCGTATGTGCATGAACTGCTCACTAATTGATAGAACTGAAGTCCTTGCATATATATATATATATATATACCATTTTCATTGGCTGTTCGGCCTTACCGGAATCATTTCGTCTCGTCATTCCGCTTTAAAGCCAAGCGAACGGTTTACCATCCAACCGTTTTCTTGAGATTAATTTTAATATTATCCTCCCCAAGGTCTTCCGAGAGATCTCTTCCCGTCAGGCTTTCTATATAAAATTTTATATGTATTTCTCATCTCCCTGTGATTTCTTCAGTATCTTGTTCGGTGAGACCAATTTGTGTAACTGTTGTAGCGCTGACGCGAGGATCTGCATCGTTTTATGATTTTTTTTTCCAACAGAGATAAGAGAAAGGGAGCGTAAACATCAAGGAGTGTGAACTCACTTCTTTGTGTCTCATGCCTGTGGTCTAACAATAGTTTAGAAACTGCGTAGGATTTCTTGGCACAATTTTCTGGTACGTTCTTGAAACGCTTGATGCAATGTCTTTTAATGAATAATGAACAGCTGACGATCAAGGACTGTGCGGATTATTTGGCCTCGGTGTGACTTTAATCATGCTGCATAAGCATAACAAGAACTGAACTGAGTCTTATGGCTTATTTGCTTCTAGAATCTGACTATTTGTCACCTGTCGCTGACGCATATCTCTGGAATATTTTCCACAAATGCCAGTTTGACAAAAATGGAGTAATCTGCATGCAAACAAAACATTATAAAGCAGCAGATTGTATAAAGAAAGAAAAGTAAACGCGGTCAAAAAACGTTGTGTAATTTTATTTACGTTTATATTAATTATATTACGCATTTGTTGTATTTTTATAAAATTTGTTTCGTCCGAAAAGACATTTTTACAGATTATAAAGCTTCATCGTCAGAAACCTTCAGACTTCATCCAGTTGTATTATTTTTATTTTTCATTATTTTTACATTTTATGTAACTGAAGACTCCAAACAAATAAAATCGACACGCGTGAAATGCCGCTTCGTGTTTTAAGTGGTCTTTCAGGTACAAACAAACAAATAAAACTTTGCAGTCCTTTGATTTTGCCTCGCGAATCCCAGACTGAGACTCGCTGCTTTGAGTGACTTTTTTCTGAAAATACCGTATTTCTTCGATTTTAAGACGCCATCGACTGCAAGATTTAGAAATAGGTTTTCGGAGGGAAAAGACGCTATATCGATTATTAGACGTCATCAAATGTTGGACGCACCCCGATTTTAGAACATTTAAAATGTGAAAAAAATGCGTCTTAAACCAGGAGAAATGCGGGAATTTTCAGGAAGTTAGAATAACAGGGTTGTCTTAGACCCACACTGTCAAGTGTTCTGATTAAAAAGTGCGTTCGTAGACCTAATTTACGCCTCTGTGGCTGGCCCACAACGAGCATTGTATTTCCTAACATGGTCCAAACTCTGAAAAGGTTTCACATCTCAGCTTATTTATCGGAGAGCTCTAATATTTGATGCAACGTTTATACATTTGGCTGAACGTCACATTCAGTGGTTAGCATCTCTGTCTGATTTTCGGAAGATTAAAGCTTAGATTATTCTTCCGAAGGAAACTGTCCTGCCTGAGAGTTTCTCGTACTTTGTTCATTTCCTCCATACAAATTATGAGCTAGAACAAAAGTTCAAAAACGCTTCCTTCTGAATCCTTCTGAGTTCATAATTCGCAGTCACCTTCTCATTCATTGCTGAATAACCTGCACAGTTGACAAAACATCGGTAAACAGACTAAGAAACAAATGGAAAGTCTGCATGACGTGTAATGTGACGCTGCATAATGTAGGTCAAGCTTTCCTCTTGATGTTCTGTTAGACGAATACAGTTCTGACCCTTGTCAGAGACTTGCGTGCAATCACGCATGGCACAAACACTGCAATGAGCTCGAAATGTGTTTCCGCCTTTACGGTTTCTGGCACTGTAGCTGAATAACGGGACAGTTAGAACACCCAAGGCAAACCGTATTTTCAGACCAACTGTCATTGCACAGAGGTCGGCACTTCTACTTCGTATTCGAAAGATCCGGAAACATTAAAACTCCGCCGGACGCCGGTTGTCCTAATTAAAGTTTTCATGACGTTATCAGACCTTCTACTGAAGTGTTCAGGTAGTAACCTGACACAGATCACGCCTAAGTTTTTCGAGCTCTAATTCAGAACCATCTTTGAATTTGACGCTATGACCAGTAAATAATTTCATGGAGCAATCCTTGAAACGCTGATAGTCACTCAAATTTTATGGAACAGTGTTCTGGACTGCCCAACTGCTTTCATAATCCGTTATAATATTACCCTGTTATCTATGTCCAGGTCTTCCAAGTAGTCAGCTTCCATTAGGCTCTGTGGCCAAATTATGTATGAATGTCCGACCCTTTATGTGTTACAAGTTCTGCCAATCCCCCTTACGTGATCGACCTAATATTAGGTGAAGAATTAAAATTATAAAGCTCATTATTATGTAATTTTCTCCATTCCTGTTACTTCTTCTCAGGCCCATGTCAAAGTATTCTCAACTCGTTTAAATTGAGGGATGTATAAGTAAACATAAAATCAAGTTAATTTATTTTCCACGTGGCCTCACACTTTCACAGAACTTATATGGTTATTTTGTTCTTTTAATACATCGTGTCAACTGTTAAGACTACGCAGTGTTTAATAAGACGCATGATTGCGAATAATGAGCTAAAGAGTACGTGGAAGAAAGCTGTCATTGCTTTTCAGCACTCGACCTTTGCCTGGAGGTTAATGTCCCTTAGATTTAACTATTCTCTTCAGTGCTTTCGTTGCGTATATTCGCTGTCATTTATTCCTCCGAGAGACCAAGCTCCCAATGTTTTATCTGGGGTATTTTTATATTAAGAAAAAGAGGTAAGATAATCCGAATGCTCCATGAGTGCCAACTAATAGATCGTAACAAGTGTAGTACTCAGATGGTTCTAGTTTCGATGCTGACTGTTGCCAAGCTCTAACGGGCATATCTGTCAGCATAAGAACAAAAACACCTAAAGATGGGAGTAGTACCAAACCCCAGAACATTAAATGTACCTCAGATATGGACAATGTCCAACAAAATTGAGGTCAATGTGCGCACTGGCATTAACCTTCAGAGAATCAATGTCCCTACGACTCAACTATTGTAGAAGATAACTGTTCGATATCTCGAAAGATGCGATGAGCAAAGATATTACAAATAACCACTAATTAGGCAAGATTATGGTTTTATGGTTGCAGTAGCTTCAACTGTGCTAATTACGCAGATGTTAATGTAAGCTATGATCTTTAATCTTATCACAGTAGCTTGGTTAGTCAGAACGATTTATCTGGAGCGACCAGCGCGGTATCGTTATCAACTTCCTGCTGGTTAACAAAGTAGTGTTCTTCTCATACTGTTTAATCCCGATGATTCTAGTGTAAAATTTTTGGAAAACTGAGTCGTTCAAGTCAAAAGTGGTCACGTCCGATGTGAGTTGGTATGGATTTACGTTCTTAGGCCGGGATTTCTGGTCATTTCTTCACGACTCTACTAGACGTCCGTCCGTATTTTT